TCTAACTAGAAACAATAAGCTACAGAGGAGAAGCTGGCTCTAACCGAAGCATGCACACGGGGTATCTTTCAAAACAGAACAAAATCAAAATTAAGAGGAAAAAAAATCTCATCGTACACTTGGAGGAGAAAGCAATTTAGGACAGTTTCAGGAAAAAAATAATTAACCAAAGACATTTGAAAGCAAATTCCATAAACTATCTGAGGATAAGTTAAAATATCTATGGCACAACTTTCACAAAAAAATTAAGGCAAAGACCACATTTTATATAAAAATAGCTGAGCAGGCTTCTGAAGAAGGAAATGAGCATCTCTGTTAATACAGAACTATAAATACCCTTATATATACAGAACAACAACATGGAAAAATCAATATAAATGCATGGAATATTTCACTAGGCATCCATCTCTCAAATAAGCCAAGATCAAACGTCCTGGACTGCAGCGGAGGTACATCAGGTCAAGATTTATAGTATTTTCTTTGCTACACATACTGATACAAATAATGGAAATGCAATATAAATACTGACATGTCACAGAGATTCACTGAGCCACTCGGGTTATAAGCCTTGGCAGATCTGCCCAGAAGGAAACCATCCTTGTTTTAAGATTGCTTTCTGTTGGCTAACGAAAACACTGAAGGTATAGATTAACGTTTAAACTTTCCAAAGAAACATTAAATCAAACTAACAGCTCCTGCGAAATTAAAACAGAAATTATCGCGGCAGAAGATTCACTACCTCTTCATAAATACAGCAGTTCATTTATATGCCACGATTACTTACAAGTATCACTACTGAGGACTTTTTAGCTAACTTCCAATCCTAACCGCTACCAGTTTTGCAGCTGGACTGCAATCTGTACTTACACAGATGTACAGAACATTGTAATCAATGCAGTAAGACCTACACGAATGAGCTCAAGTGAAGTATTTCCACGCACACTGTAGGCGCTCACGTTGCCGTGCTCGTTCCACCTGCGCACACCGTAGCCCTGCACACACACTCAGCAGTTCTAAACTCATACACACTGTGCCATGCCCACCAGTGAGCAATGTTTTTCCCACACACAACTCAGCCGATTCTGCCACGACTTCATACGCTGCACTTCACAAAGTCTGAGACGGTGCAAAGCTCGGGCTGCCCGAGGTGTGCAACACCTCCCTTTGTTTCAGCCCCTAGGAGCCCCCACGGCCCCTGCCGCAGCCCCACGGCCGCCTTGGCGCCCCGCACCTCCCTGCCCACCCACGGCTCCAAGGCGCGGTGGTTCATAGGCACAGGCAGACGTGGGGGAAATGACTGGGACTTGCTGCTTTTTGCTGCCCTAAAATGGCCTGCGTTTACGTGGGAGCTGTACTTGCCCGACTCATTTTAATGTCACACTTGCTTACAAGCAAATTGAAATTGTTCCTATAGGTTTTTATACATATGGTCATTACAAAAAAATCAACAGAAAATGAAGAGATACCAGAAACTAACATATGAGAGCGTTCTTTTCATGTCGTACCTCAGAAAAAATAAAATCCTGTCCCTGTTCACCACATTGCTGAGACTCACTATCCAACCAACCCCGCTGAGCGATTCACCTACGGTGCATTAAGAAACATCGCAACAGCCATTTGGCACCAGGCTATTTCTAAGTATAATATTCATTTCTTATAACAGCTGTACCAAAAACTGCAAAAATTTACGGTACCATCCTTGAGCATCAATAGCAATATTCACTACCATTAACATACGCTAATCTTTTTTTCCCAAACATCACATCTTCATTATTTCCCTATCCACAGATTGAGACAAATACATGAAATAGTACCAGAACAAAAAACAAACTGAATGTTTCACACAACTAAAAAACAGGCACAGAATTGGAGGATGTGTGTTGGAAATAATTTATTGCCTATAAAAGCTTTTTTATTTTATTTTTTAATTCACATTTTCTGTGTGGTTTTAAAGGTGGTGTTACGTTTCAGAGGTAGCGTGTGTAAAATGAAATACAGAACTGGAAAATATTTACTTCATTCAGTAATACAGTAAAACGTTCACCGTAACCAAAGCTCTGACCTGAAACCATTTTCCTCACGGAGACATTCTTAAGCATCTTTTGTTGAGAATGAATGCTGCTTTGTCTACAAACAACACCCACCACCACCACTAGCCCGAGCTTCTGATTCTGCCCCTTTTACACCTGCTGTCTTCTGACCACCGTGTCAGCCACCATCTTACAAACACTCCTTAGCCAAGAGTAGAACCCTACTCTACCACTGAAAGAGCTCTGTGGTACCACTTGGCCAACGTGCTAATGGGGCAGAAAAGGCAGAGTCCTGAAATGAAGGCTGAATGTCAGGCAGCTGCCAGTCCTCCCATGCATAAAGCAGCCTCGTAGTTCCCAGCTGATCTGAAGGATCTGGGCAGCAGGACTGGAGGTAGTAAATTAAGCTTTTGGTTGCAACATTACAAATTGCTCATTCTTCGTGGTTCAGATATTCTGTGTGCTATTCCATTTATGCATATTATCTTTGTCTTCTGTCACTATCCTGAGACCAACAGTCAGCTACGACTACAGTACCTCTGGAAAAGTTAGCGCTGTGCATTATCATCTTCAACATCACTAACAGGGCAGTGCTACAGAGACCCCAAAGCAGACAGCTGAGCAGTAATTTCCACAGTAAAGACGCTATGATACGGTTGATTTGTCCTGTCATTTCAACTCTGTATCGACAACAGTAGATATTGCAGCCTCTGTTTGGTGAGCAGACCTGATGACTGCTTCCCGAGTTTAGAAGATGAAGCTGTAAGTTATACATTCCTTTTCTCTTCCTCAGAGACTGCAAAGTCCATGATCTGCTTGTCATTTTCAGACTTTTTATTGCCTTAGCAAAAAAGAAATACTTGGAAAGATTAAAGTGCAGTGTTGCTTCAAGAACTAAGTACTGAAGAAAATTGACACTTGTATAGTACATCTGTTCACGTAGTTTTAAATCTGCCAAAATTTACCTATTAGAATATTTACTATTACTCACTCCTGCCAGATCTAAAGACTTGACAGAAGCATCATCTGCAGGGAAATGAAAAGAGGCATAGCTTCAGGAAACAGCTTTCTGAAGTATAAGCAAGCTTGCTAGCATCAAAGAATTTCAGTGCTCCCTAAGGAAGGGAGAGCGTCCTGTTTCTAAGTGCCTAAGAACTACCTTCTTCCACTTTGCTTTCTTCAGAAAGACATACTTAATCATTCATGTTCCTACAGATGCATTAGGAATAAAGAACACCTGCAAAGTCATCTTCCATGGACAAAGCAAATGAGAGCCTTAGCAGAAAGACGATGAGAACATCAATACCTGGCACGTCTGCTGCTGTCACTATCAGTGAGATAGTAAAGGAAGGCTTATTTCTTTCATCATGACACAACACAATATTAGCTTTCTCTGTCATTACAGTCTATACAGATGCGTTCTGTGGTCATCCACTGATCAGAGGCAGTAAACACAAACCAAAACCCTAAGCAAAGTCCTGGGCACAGACAGCTATCACCTATAATTTTCCATCTTCTAAAGCACTTTCAGAGCAGAAATGAGTATCCTGGTGACCCTGTACTCGAATCTGATGCTTGTCAGCACAACTGCTAAGACAAAGTTGGCCAGGAAAATGGATGGCAACAATGCCAAACTCCCTCACACTGTTCTAAGGCCCAGTTAGATGCAGGATATCTGGACTTGGACATAATTTGAGCAGAACATTTGTGTAGAAACTTGTCTGTCAGGGACACAAGCAAAGGAAAAAAAACCCTGAATCACAAAGCCATAAAGCATGCGTGCTGCTGGTCTGATCTGCACGACTTAGATACATACTGTGTGCAATTCTCAGGGATCGTTATGTTTTATGTTACAGAACCTCCAAGCAAGTGTGTAGCTTTCCAACCACTGTACTGCAAAACTATTCTTGCTGCAATATGAAAAAAAAAAAACAGCAGTGGTAAAATGTCATTCAGATTTTTGTTTTACCTATGACAGGAAATACACACTGAAAAACAAAACACCTGAACAAGCAGCTGTACATTATTATCCCCTGTATTCTGTTATACAGGAATATCATTTACACACCTTCTTTCTGAATTGCTGTAATATTGCCAAATGTTTCAGGGTATGAAAACAGGACTACTGTGCGATGTTTTGGCTTGTCATCATGCAGAAGGGGACCAAAGAACCACATGCCCAGAGGCACAACGTGTGGGTGCTGACTGCAGCCAGAGTTCTAGCTGCACTTCCTTAGCAGCAGTTCCAGTCCCTTTAGCAAAGGGACTTGCATAAGTGCTTGAATCTGACAGTAGTTCATTCAAAAGTAATTCCTTCCACTTGTTTGGCACATCAAATAAAAGCAAGACAGAGCAAATATGAGATATTATCAATTAAAATTTTCTTGTAGAAAAGTGGATAATTTAACTGACTGTGAAATCAAGCCTATCCTGCTGTTTGCATTGGGAATTCAAGCAAAAGCAGCAGGAAAATAGGGTCCAAATAATGGTAAATTACTTTTCTTTTTATTTCTTTTTTTTTTTTTTTTTAAATTCTAGCAAAGCTCACAGAGGTTTCATTGTCAGTGGCAGAAATTTCCTATCTAGAGAGAACAGTATCAGAGAGTATTGTTAACTAAGTACAGAAAACCCTTTGTAAAAGATTTTTTTTCAGAGTGAGCAGAATTACAGTTGAACTCCTCCTTACATTTGAAGGCAGGCTAGCGCTGTGAACTTTGCTAACAAACCTAAATTACTTTTAAACCGGTGGTCATTTCACCAGGCACATGAAATACAGCTCCTCCTTTGAGATACCAGCATTCACCTCCCAGCCAGGGTGCGATACTTCAGTGGAGGCAGTGAGCGGGTGAGCAGCCCACAGCTCACACACAGCTTACACAGTGCCTCCTCTCTCTCTCGGGATACTATTATTGAGTTAAGACATTAACTTAAGTGCAGGCCTAACAGCTTCCATTTGTGGGGTTACTCTGCAAGAGGTTTTTTGAGGACTACATGCTAACCTTATTATATGGTAATCAGAATTTCAGAACCGTGAAACCTTTTTTTTTTTTTAAACCTTTATGCAACTGGCACTTAGCAATACTGTAAAAAATCCCACATGCCCAAGTACAACACTGGAAAAAAAAGATGGCAGAACAGAGCTCAGCACAGATCCTAAGAATACAAAATCTGCAGGAGTGATGAGGGAGGACCAGACGGAGAAAACCTGAAATCATTAGTGAGTGAATCCCAGCATTAAAGAAAAAAATGTTCTGGGTCATCTCCTACGTGCCACCACTCCTGAATTTTGTGAGCCTCACCCAGGACCTACACTGAAACCAATGGGATTACTTACTGCACTGCACGAACAGAGACTCGCCAGACTGTATTATTACTCAGTGTAAAATTGAAAGATCGGGCTTTTTAACAAAGTGTGAAAGTAGGTTTTGAAAATGCTTGTTGAGGAATATACAGATTAGAAGATACAGAGCATTAATAACATGGGCACGCACTTACAAACCCTATTAAATTCATCCAAATGTGTCTGCACATCCATTTATTCAGATGAGGAAAGGGATTCAATGCGACCAACAGCTGGGAAAGCAGAAACTCATTCCAGCCACTGCCTGCAATCAAGCTCACGGTTTGAAAATGGCAACTGTGACGTGGTAGTGCCAAAAAAACTTGTCAGACAAAGCTACTTCAAAACCAGGTCACATGTAGAAAGTCTGTAACGCTCAATTCTAAACACTTCAATGCCTTTCAGGGCATAACGGATTTAAGAGAGCGTCTTGATAAAAGGGAGTAAGGTTTGTTAAAAGTATGTAGGTGGTACTTAAAACAATGAACTTCAGCACTACACCTCTACAAATAAAAAAAGATAACTACATTCATAGAATCATAAAACTGCATGTGAACCTGTTTAACCCACTGCTATTGTGAGAGTCTCAGGAAAAGTCACACAGTGCAGCTACCAGGTTTCCCACATGATCTCATGGGCGAACTGCTTACAGACAGATTCTGTACATCAACAGTTCGGTGATGATTTGAATTACTCAGTCAGCCTTTTAAAGTGTTTTCAATTGTTTTGGTCACAAAATGTTAAGATTAAACAATCTGAAGTCATGTGACGAAACACACTTTAGTTTAATTTCAGATCTGCAAAGAGTTCAAGCACAACTCAAAAGAGCTCATTATTCTATTTGGATTCTCAATTTTTAGTCCACCTACCTGAGTCAAAATTAGGAAAAAATTAAAACCAGGAATAGTGAGCAAGCAACTCTGAAAAACTGGCTGTTTGTGTAACAGGACATTTGTTTTCCACTCTTGGATCCCTGCTCAAAAAGTCTTTGCTACAGAGCAAGTGTTATTTTGGAAAGTCAGAAGTTACCCTAATCAAGGCCAAACTGCTAAAAGTGAAACATTTCCTCACACAGTTCTTTCATTTAGCAGAAACAACACTCAACATTTCTTGACATTGCAAACCGCAGCCACTATGTACTACAGTCATTCTTCAGGGAGGTCTACTTCACCTTGGGCTTTTCCTTTTTGGGTTGAAGAACACTGTACAGCAAAATGCTGTCCTCTTGAAACCTACACATTATGTGAGGTTTCTTCCTGTCAATTAGAAATAATTAAAAAAATGAAGTAAAATCACAAACTGTCTGAGGCATTTTTCTCCGATAAAGACGACAAGCTGAATGAGGTATCATCAGGCTCTGGTGATGTGTGATTGAAATCCATTTCTTCTAATTCAGGAGGTAAGTCTGAGAGCAGTGCCTATAATTAAAAGAAGTATTACAATGCAGTCTTAGTTTTACCTTTCACATCAGCAATTAATGTAATTTAAACATATAGTTAAAAAACAAAAAGAACACAACAAAACACCACCACTTTGTCGAGCTTTTTGGTCAGTTTTCACATTGGACAGACTGAAAAGAAACAAACCTCCACAGATCGGTACTGATAGATATTGAGAAGAAAAACACTGACCGAGATGATGCAACTCAGACCAACAGTCCCACAGGGTCTTTCAGGTATTCTGGAAGCAAAACATTCTTCCCCAGACTGGATGAGATCAAATGACCTACATCCATTTCTTTTATTGGTCACCGTGAACGCACAAAAGCTTCACTATATCTACAGTTGTGCTACACAGAGAATGTGCATTAGAAAGAACCAGATGCTGCTACAGTTGTTATTTACCTCTAAAGATTTGAGTTCACTTTTTTTTTTTTTTTAAAGCTTAGTTCACACGGTTTTATGAAAAAATTATGAAAAAACTAGAAGCCAAAATTTGTTTCAGAATTAAAAGTGTTGTAAGTTTTTTTCTTGCAAGTGATAGTTCCTTTTTTTAAACCCGGAAGACTGCAGACTCTAAAGGTGAAAGGAAAAAGGAGAGGCAACAAAATCTGTCCAAAAAAACCCAGATACAAGACATGATCTGACAAAGTTCTTAAGGAAGTGCTATGCATTAAATGCAGTGTGGTAAAACTGAAGCCTGGCTTTTTTTCCTATATCCACCTTGGGCCTCACAACAGACAAATCCAACTTGCTCAGTGTTGCACTGCTTGCCTTTTGGTGAAAGGAACAATGTTTAATGTCATTGCTCATCTAAATTGTGAGATCTTTTATTTAACTTCCAACTTTTCTTTGCAAGATGTTCTGCACATTGCTGTCCCTAATCACAGTTTGAGCTTCTGGGCTCTACAGAATAAAAATAAGGAGATGACAGAACACAACAGGACATGTACCCCCATTATTAAAATCTGCTTTGACACTCACCTGCTGCTGTTCCTTATCATCTGATTTAATAGCAAGTATCAAACTCCGTGTAAACGTCTGCAGTTCAAAATACTTCTGTTTGTGATTCTCCAACTCATTTTCAATGAATCTGACTTCTTCATTCTGAGGGGGAAAATTGCATGCAGTTTTGCAAGTAATAAACTATACTGCATCACTTTAGTACATACTAGTACTTCAAACTTTTTTGTGTGTAAAGAAGTAAATCAGCATGCTGTGATTCCTGCCAAAACCAGTACTAGAATTCTTGAATGTAGCATGTAGACATTCGATACAAACAGAGGTTCCTGATGGACCACCAGGAGCATCGCCCTAAGCCTACACACACGTGCCATCTGCTTTCTCATTCTCCTCCAAAAGAGGACTGGAATGGCCAAAGAGGTTCCACACAGACAGTCATTAAAGACTGAACGACTTAAGCGTAAGTACATAAACTTAAAGGAAGCACTTCCATTTTAAAATAAAGAAAAATGGAGCCCAGGTCTCTTCCCAGAAGAGATGATCTTGAAAAGGCAGGCTGACCCATGACACGGAGCAACAACTCAGTTCCATCACTACAGCAGGAGGTCTGACACTAAGGCCACGGAAACTAACTTGAGGATTCGTTGTTAAAACACAGCATCCCTACAACAGCCAATTTGCTGTGTGTTGCAGAGCAGAAGCTTATCAACCTCCCCAGGATCTCTGAGGTTAATGAATAAATAAGAATGTATTTATAAGAATTGAGAAATATTAGTAATCTATACAGTGAATAAAGAGACATTTCATAGAGTCATAAAATTGTTGGAGTTGGAAGGCTTTTCCAAGCTTTGGATGTAAACTGATGTCACTGTACCTGCAAATCACTTTCGTAATACAGAAATAACAAACACCTGGATTAAAAATTTAGACTGATACACACTTCAGCATATTTCAAGTAGCTCTTCTCCCTTAAACTCACCAACTGGTTGGTATGTAAGATCCAAACACTAAATTTATCTATTGAGCAACCAAAATTAATCTTCTCTAGTTATTAACCTTTGGGAAGATCACATAACCTAAACATGCAGTTCACCTTTAAGGAACAAAATCATTGTGCATTATTGCAAAAAGATATCTGCACAGTGGCACCAAATGCACACCCTCTGTAAAATAATAATGACAAAAATACCCATTAGAATTATGACTGTATAGAATTAAGATGTATACATGATACATGCAAAGTAAGCATGTAGGTTCATAGAGATTTCATGGCAAATGCTGCGTTTACCAGGGGATATCTGAGAGAAGAAAATGGAAGATAACAATTTAATACAGACAATCCTGAGTAAATTCTAGCTGAAGTTTTATGAAGATTGTTCCATGGCAAAACTGTGTTCTCACATACTGCACATCCTGTTGCACAAGACCTCGCCTGTAATCCACAGTCTAGCTTTCCTGTAAGCCTAAATCCTTGCTATAGAGTACATAGCTGGAAGAAAGAAGGGGAAAAGGGAAAAACTTCCAGTGAATGCCTTTAGAAGTACATTCAAATGTCTTATGGTAATCTAGATATGAGTTTCTACTATGAAGCCATTTTATATAGGTCTCATTTTCCAATAAAATAATGAAGAGTTTTTGGACAGAAGGTCAAATAATGTAGCAGAATATTCCCTTTTGAAAACAAATGAAAGAGAGAATAAAAAAAAAAAAAAAAAAAAAAGGCACCACCCTCATTAGGCAGCCACATGACTAATTAGGTTGGCAGCGGTGCACATAAAACGTTCCTTGCTGGCTGGTTTTGATGGCAGCAAATAGTTACATAAGCAAACTTCAATTTGGGGGCTTACATAAGAAAATCAGCTTAATGTATTTCTTCTAGATGGAAACTTACAAGATGCTTCTGTAGCAGTGGATTTTGGCCAGTCAAAGATGGAATTCAGATTTATGCACAAAAGCCAGAAAGACTAATCACTAATGTCAAACAACAAAGCAACAAACAAGACTCTGTAGGGCATGCTGTCACAACAAGCCTTTCAGTTTGGTGACAGGTGACATTATGAAAAGGTCATTCCCCATCCATATTCATTCTGTACTGCCCTTACCAGGAAAATACTGCTTGAGGGAGTAATTTTTGTTCCGAACAGATGATCTATTCATTATTTTGGTAACTGATTATCATTAGAAGAGCATACCTGTTTCTAACTAAAAAAAATTAGCTACTTACATAAAAATGTGCTCAGTACACAATAAAGAGCCGTGGCAACTTGTAAGAGAGTTGTAACAAATATTACCTTTGCCATTTGGGAGAAGACAGCAGCTGTCAGACATCCAACTCATTCTCCTCCAACCCACAGCTACCACTTACAGACAAGTTCTGTGCTACATTGTTAGAATGATTTATTTCTCAGTTCCTCCATTTTATTAGAAGAGTTCAGCTGTTACATCCCTTTCCAGAGCTGGAAGTATCATGCTGCTTTTTAAATCACGCCGTAGCACTCAATGAACAATTTTGGCACAGAGATGAAGTTTTGTTTTAGATACTATGTAAACTTGTCTTGGGACACGTGGTGGGAGCTGCAGATGGCTACAGCTAGAGTAACACAGCTCCTCTGTAGAAGTGGAACTTTTCCTGCTTCCCTCTGCACTGAAATATGGGTAAACTGACTTTAAGAGGGATGAGGAGATGTGACTGATGGGATGACACGTGGCACTCTGACTTTCTGGTAAGAGCAGAGGAGTTCCAGGCTCTCGCCTTTGCTGAATTCCTCACAGACAGACCTGTCAGAACGTTCTGTGAAGGACTATCCTGCTAAACATTTCATAGTCTGAATTACTCACCTTGTAATCCAAAAGAGAACTCATTTGATCCACTTCAGAATTACTTATCATATCACTTTCTTCATCATCTATAATTTCTATTTTCTGAAACAGAAGTAAACGGCTCATTCCAAACATGCAAATGTGTAATCAGAGAAACAATCCTATCTCAGACTGACATGATAGGCTGAGGGTAAGAGGACCTGGTGCTTGCTTGTGAACAATTTAGAAATGTGGAGCACCCATTAGATGGCAATCATGCACCTCAGCCACAGGATCCAGGAGGAAATTGAATGAAACTATGCTCAAGAGCTGCTGCCATGGTGACTCAGGCTGTTTACATGTCACCATGCTTTTGGCATTAAGTCACACACTGCATCTCATTACAGCTCGCAAAAGCCTGCATTTTATTCCATAAGCTGCTCATTGAAGACTTCCTAGAGAGCAAAGATTATCACAGTTTATTCCTCTGGAACAAAAAAGACATTACAGCAAGTGACAAGCAAGTCCAGACTGACCTACTTCTTGCCTAAGGAACTGAGGAGGTCCTTTGGCCTATTTTGGTCATGGTGCAAGTCAAATGCTCTAAAATGCATATGAAGACAGCTCTAATTTCATACACATTGACTTTTCCCCTGAAATCTTAATAATTCTCGGATTTTTTTTTTTTTATATTGAGTTTCATAAGACATCTAAAGTTAAATGTTTAAGGTCAACATTAATGCTGTTCAAGACTTAGAAATACCATATAACCGCAAATTTTAACTATATTAACTTCCACACAGTGTTTTTCTTCCCCACAGAAAGCCTTCTTACATGAGAAAATCAACTCAAAACATAAATTCTGTATTTTCTCCTACAGAAATTACATGTCTTTAGTAAACTTATGGCATTTCTTTTTTAATTCACATCTAAATCAGATCTCAATCAGCTGGAATGATTTTGAATTAGAGAATGATAAGAGATTGGCACTTCTACCCAAGAACTCAGAAGAATAACTCAATAACTTCTGAGAGAGAAGCAGTGGTCAGGTAAGAAAAGGATGTTTTGGCTGTTTTGTTTGGTTGATTTTACTATTTTTCACTATTTTGGCAGTTGAAAGCATACAGAGACTGCATATAATAGGTCAAAGTGGTTTCATTCCACTGTTCAGTACGCTATGTGATACAGCGTAGGCAACGACTCACACTGACACAATAGATTCTAATGGTTAGTTCTCAAGCTGTTATATTAGAGGAGGTTTCTTCACTACAGCTTGCGTGTGTGCCTTCTTCCCCCCTCCTACAGAGCAGCCATTGGAAGCTTCCTTCTCATCCCCTGTGAGCTACCCATAAGGACTGGCTATCACTCTCGCTACCCCACAGGCATGTGTCACAGGGAGGGAGGGGAAACCACATTTTCTGTTGTTCAGTGTCTGACAACCCAGCTGAAATGACAGCACTTCAAAGGCTTAATGTCACAAAGATCTGCTGCTGCATCATACGCTGAGCAACACTGTGATCTACATATTTTGGGGGTTAGAGGAAATTATTTTGAGGAAAAAACTTCTAAATAAATGTCAGTCGTTCACTGACTTCTTATAACTATACATTTTAAGATAGCGGGGGAAGGAATAGACCTGAATTTCAAATAAGAAAAAGTGTTATGCAAAGTCTAAGTGCAACTGCAACAGCACACATTTCAAGAACTGTTACAGTTCTAATAAAACAGCGTGAAAAAAAAAAGTCATCTTTGCCTCCCCCCTTCCCTCTTATCAAATTATATAATGCTGGAGTTTAGGTGGAGAACTGAGCCCTTGGACATCCCCTTTGCAAACCTTTTACCTTTGTCATTTTATATTCTGCATCTCCATGGCAAACACGTCAGCCTGAGTGATTATATCTAAGGTCACAGCAGGCTGCTATGGTAAACAGAAAGGAAAAAGGAGCTGCTTCTATTCAGACAAGCCACAGAACATGCAGCCTGGGATTTTTTTTATCCAAAAGCTGACCATATACTATCAAAAGAAATAAAAAAGGAATAAAATGTTATCTTCTCCACATATATACACCTGTAGAGGAAAAAGAATCTCCTGTTCATCAGCCCATTTCAGCTTTTGTGTGATTAACAAAAAAAACAAATGTAAAATCAGAGCTGTAGCCTCTGGCTGCAACGGCTGTAACTGGGACCTGTTCATTCTCCAAATAACTTTTTAAGATAAAAATCACCCTACCACTTGGGGTCTTCTCTCTTCTTCCTCCTCTCCTTTCTTCTAATCTGAGAGAAGGCAGGCTAAACAAAGGGACATATCGCATTATTTGCCATGACTCCTCCCTCTGTCTTTCCTTCCTTGTCTCAATGCAGTCAATTAAGAAAAGCAAGAACAACTGTGTTTGACTTAACGTGAATGCAAGTGAGAGAACAATGACCATCTAAATAATGTCCTATTGAGATTAAGGGAACGGACTGATCTCACAGACTGAGGGCTACATACAAAGAGCAAGCACTAACAATACCTGACTTCCTTAAAGGTACCGAAATTTTTCACTTTTTTTCTAATTCTTACTGTTTTAATATAGCAGGTACAAACAGAGCACTACAAACACTGCACCTTGCACTATAGGAAAAGACACTGGACTGTTACAGTATGGAAAAATGTCCAGTATTCAGTTTCTACCGAATGTGCATAATTGTCTCCTCTAGTACTTTTAGTACAGTTTCTTCCAGCACTCAAACAATATGAAAATACACTCTCAGAACTCAACTGAAGTTTTTACCTAGTGAAAAACACGGTGTTGGACAGCAACTTCAACATTAGACATAAAGGAAGTCACATGAGTGGAAAAGGACAGGTGTACATACCACATTATCAGCAGCTACTGGATTCCGCTCATCATCTTTGTGATGAATTTCTTCATTTTGAAGAGCTTCATTTGTTTCTTCTGCAAAAATAAACGAGTTTTTCAGATTTCATTCAAATTTTATGCTTAAGGAATATTAGTTACCCCTGTGACCAAATACACCACATCTACTAGATACAAAAAATGAAAATCATTATCAGAAGCTAAGCAAAAAATAATACTCCATGTCTCATTAAAGAAGACATTGTACCACAAGCTTCTCAGGCCAAAGTCATGCCAATTGCTAGTTGAAAAGACAGAAAAAATATCTGTTACTCTCTTGCCACGTATCAAAACGTTCCTAGTTCTAGGTTCAGGTTGGAATATTCAAAGATGATGAAGTGTTTCACACGTCAGAGGCACCCAGAACATTTTTTTAAGGAATTAATACATGAAAAATCCAGCATGCACTGTAATTATAGGATAGATATCAGAATCCTCCTACTTGCAGGCACTGGCTACTTTTGAACAGAACAGTGATCAAGTAGATTATTTCCTTCTTGTATGGCAAACTGTTTATTTCTAATAGACCTAGGCTTGGCCTGCTCTGTGTACAAGCGAAGCACATGCCTGAAAACAGAGCAAGTCTTCTCCTTAGATCTCAGCACAAGATGATTCCATTAGCCCTGACTTCTGCTAGAAAAAGATAAGATATTCTCATTGCTGTGATTAAGTGTGTTTCTCAGATTTACTTTAATTCTCCACATTTAACTCAAAGACCTGAAGGAAGCAGTTTAGAGAAACAGCAAATAAATAAGAAACTGAGACGAGAGTGCTCTGGTAAGAAACCTAAGTGAGGGCATGAACAGTGAGGCCAACGCTGATGGAAACACATGGCACCAGGTGCTGTGCAGTGCCTGCAGCACGAGAGGGGCAGAGGGGCAGCAGTGGGACAAGGCGTACCTCCTCCAAGCACGCAGAGCTAACAGGACTTAACAACAGGATTTACATGGAGACTACTGACGCTCACAGAGAATGGATAGCATCCAGGCCAGGCCATGGTGAGACAGTTATTGTTTTCTGCCAGTAAATTTCTCTAAACTGAACAAATGTTAAATCGATTTGAAACAACACAAAATAATCTGCCACCGGCTGCACTGCAGAGGAAAATTTCTGCTAAAACAAAAGCGAGTGGCTCCAAATGGGAAAAGCGTGAGGCAGGGAGCAACCACCACCCACCCTGTGCTGCTCACAGGGACCCCAGCAGCCCACAGCTCCCCTCGCTCTGCAGCCTGCAGCCACCCCCTCCTCATTCCATCAGTGAATCCAACTCCCTGCAGCACTTTAAAATCTTTAAGTGTTCATGCTCAGCTAACATAAACTGGCATAGTTCAGTGGCCTCCACGTTGAGTTCATTTACACTAACTTTAAAAAAGGCAAGGCGCTGTCTGAATCTTAGTGCTCAATTTTGGAGAGTACAGCCTTCTTTTTTCTTTTATTTTTTAATAATTACGTGGTACTTTTTAAAACCTAATGCCAACACTTTCACTCTAATTTGGCAATTTAAAATATCCTAAGAGTTATGGTGGTTTTTTTTGTTTGTTTTGTTTTTGTTTTTTTTGTTGTTGTCGTTGTTAATTAAGACCGAGAGTTATACTGAAACAATCACACCTGTGGTTGAGCAGTGTACATGATGGTCGGTGTGACTATTTTCAGGAAGTTCCCAGTAATCCGAGCAGTGAGATCTACTGGTCTCAACTGTAGAAGTCAGCAGAAACAATTCTTGTGGTAGGATGGAAGAGAGACTCCTGGGTGCTATGCAAACCCCACAGATTTCTGGTACTTCCTTACCCTTTGACTATACTCATCTGCTCAAAGTCCTGCACTCTGCTGTAGGAAAGCCTCATTCAATACATGCAGTGTTATTTTTTGCTTTAAGCTGCAGAAAACTCAAGTTCTTCCCCCATCACCACTTTCTTTCAAACAGATCTGACTAAATCAGGGCCTTCCACACCTCAGGCAAATCAAGGACTCTGATTCTGCATCTCACTTGGCTTTCAGTCATTTGACCCATTTCTTAATCATCTTATTCTCTTTATAGTAGGTTATGACAAAGCTATCTCAAATTCATTCCCAGCAGTTCTCAATCTCTCTAGTTCTTTCTTTAAACTGTTCAGACAAAATGACAAGATCAAGTCTGGCATATGAAACTGAAATACTGCGCGCTTGTTCAGACTTTCTTTCAGCTTAGACAACAAAAGTTTTATTGATCTCTTCTAATCAGAAGCACTGGGAGCAATTAGTTAAGGCTGCAAAGCTGGTGAAAGGAGCAGAGTGGCAATTTGTGCCCTCAGCCCAGAGCGTGAGTGTACAGGAGGGGAAGGCAGAGGTTTGTCCCATGTGGTCAGATGGCTCTTTAAGGTGCAGTAAAAGGGAATTAAGTTCAAGACACTTATCACTCCAGAGCATGGAATTCACTGTGAACAAACATGCACCCTGTAGATGCAGTTCTAAGTCTTCCTGAACTGCCTCCAGCTACTGACTTTGATTCTTACTGCAGATCTGTATCTGCCTGTCAAAGCACATACACACACCTGAGGCAGCTTAATGGCGCAAGTTCTGCTATGCTCTGACACAGTCTGAAGCTCTTTTAGTTTAAGACAGAGTTTGAGCTAATTCATTTTCTGAACTTATCATTTTGAGTTTATTGTGGAAACCATAACTGCATAGCTCTGGTCACCTCAAAGCTAGCAGCTTCACACGCATCGGTGCTTCTTTAGCCACGAATTGCTGATGTGACCCTAAGAGAACTGATGTTCAAGTTCACAGAGTAGAACTGGTGAGTTACCAGAGAGCACCCGTAAAACTCAGCTTCCCAGGGAAAGGAGGCTGATCCACCAGTACTGTTTGCTCACCTCTCAGTTGCACGAGCAAACTGTGAACTTGTTAATTAACTTCTGAGGAATCTGGCAGAAAAAGAATCTTATGACAGAAAGTTTCTGAAAGCTTTGTGATAAAAACATAGGCAGCATTCACAGAGAGAAGAGACCAAACAGTACTGTCTATAGAAAATGACACTGTTTCAGACATTTCTGAATGTGTACAACAGAGAACCCAAAGCATGCAACAGTACAAAATTAAAAACACGTGCACAGTGGTAACTGCATTTTCAAATACCTTGTGAGCTTCCTTCAGATAAGCAGATTGATACTTCATCATTCCTATCATTATCATCCCCCACTTCAGTAGCAGTTTCCTCTCCTGGATTAAGTGCTGATTTAGAAACAAATTCAGATTGATCAGAGAAATCAGCAGGACCTCCTCTAGGGGGTGGGACCTCAATCCCCATTAAACGGTACTTCCGTCTTCGATTCCCAATCCATGTCTTGCAAGAGAAATAAACATGAATTATAGCAGAAACTGTAACAAAAGCAATAGACCCACAATCAAGTGAAATTAGCACATCTGTATTCTAAGAACAGGAGTATAGCCAGCAATCCAAAGGAGGTGACTATTCCTCTATATTTGGCCTTCATGAGGCTGCTTCCTGGAGTACTGTGCTCAGTTTTAGACCCCAATGCAAGTGAAAAGGGAAGAAAAGTGCAGAGCAAAAGGAATAAAAGCAACAGCTGCAAGTTACAGCAAGAAAAATTCTGACCAGAACTGAAGAAAGCAGATGTTTTACAGTGACGGCAGTTAAGCACTGGAATGGTTTGTCCACAGGAGTTTTGGAATCTCCAGCCATGTAGGTAGTCAACATTTCACTGGACAAGGCCCTGACCTAACTGTGAATAGGTTCTGCTATGAATAAAGACAAGGACTAAGTGATCTTGTATGCCATCCCTCCCTAAATTATTATATCAATATATGATCTTGGATTCAAGTTCTCTTGGTGCACAACTTCTAATGTGATCAAACCACCCTGTGACCCAAATGGTCCACCTATTCCACGATTTCCTACAGCACAGGAAAAAATATTCAAGATGGTAGCTTTACATCGCTTCACTTTGATATGGAAGCATACTTTGTAAAGTAAGTGAAGTGATCTCAAAACAATATTATCTTTGCGTCATCTTTAGTTGTAGGACGTGCCTTTAGGAAAAGAAATTACAGTGCTTCCTGACTGTTAACTGACTTGCTTTCTCTGATGAGTTCTAAAGAACAAATTATGCTAAAATTTTTAAAGACTCAAAAAAGAGTTCAATGTGATGCAGTAAGACTTGTCGGCAACGCTTTATCTCAACTCTCTTCTTTTCCTTGCATTACCCGAGCTTTTCAGTCTCACCCATTTCAATTCCACTTGTCAGCTCTTGTTCACAGACACTCGGTTCCATCAAAATCAGTTTCTCACTGGTATCCAAAAACCCTGGAATCAGCTTCTTGGCCTGATCATAACTTCTAGTCTTCTTGCCTTGGCCCTCCCCCCTTCCACGCCCTCCATAAGATGACAGGAGCGGTGCTGCAGCACTGGAAGCACATCCACCACCACCCCAGGACCTGACCACATGCCGGTGCAGGACTGCTGACAAGGGAATTGTGCCACACAAGCTATAATCATACAGAGCACAGTGGATTACTGCAATTATTAGGTATGTACAATACAGTCAATAGTGGGCTTTGAAGCATGGTTAGTGCTGGAATTTCTGGATTCCAAGAAACAAATATACCTCTAGAAAGCACGTGCATTGCTACTATTGAAAGCACGTTAATGGGGCATGGAAAATGTACATTGCTTCCATAAGGTCTGAGCCCCAACAGAGTTTGCCAAACATATTAGAATGTTACAGGATTTTTTTCTTTAAAGATATATGAAAAAACATTATTATGGCCTTATTTTGGAAATAATTGCAATGTTTCTTCTTCCCAATCCACTCAATTTAACTACTGTTCCAACACGTAGCACAATAAAGATTATTAAAAAACTTATTGCTTATAATACCTTAGTTATCAAAGTGAAAAATTAAGAAACACAAACTACAATCCCAACTATTATAGCTCCATGCTGTGCCAGCCTTAGGAAAAAGTAAAGTAAGATACAATAAGCTGCATCTCTAACTAGGTAGAAGATGGCATGGCTAACACTGGTCTTGGCAAATCATTTTTCCTAGGTGCTACTTGCTTTCCCAGCTCTAATTTTCCTCAGTGACAAATGCAAAACAGGTACAAAAAAAGCTAACTAGAGATTGTTGTAAAATACATAGCATTTGGGGTAGCAATAAACAGTGTTAACAACTATGCAGTTTAAGAATCAATATGCTTTTTTTTTTTAACTAAAAAATTCTGGAGAAAAAAAAAAAAAAAAAAAAAAAAAGGCTCCTGGACAAGACAGATATGAGCAGTCTTTTTATGTGCTTCTCAAAGCAGAAATTCTTTCATTCAACCTACTGAATATATCATGGAAAACGAATGTATTTTTACAGTATATCAAAATGGGAAAGAGAAGTTGTAAGCTTCCACATAGAGTACATGTTATGCTTAAATGTGACTACTGTGGAGCCATACAATGATGAGAGTATGAGCAGAATAGTATTTCCTTGTAGGCAGTGTATTAATGTCAATTATATCCCTAAAATGACACGTCCTTAAAAATTTCAAAACTACCTGCAAAGTACATATGATCAGACTCACTAAGCCCACTTACAACAGCCAATAACAAATTCAGCATCATCTTCACCCGATGACAAGGAGGAGGTAAGGAAGAGAGGACAAAGGCTAGGTAGAAGCAGCCAGTGTACGCTTGCTGTGAGTAAGCCTGCAGGTAAGCACGTTGACAGGGAGCCACCTAAGAAGCGTGATTATAACTCTGCAGTGATTGAGGTTAGGGTGTCAGCACGCTAGAAAGATTCTAGGTTGGAACCTTCAGAAATCCCACATAATGGAAAAAACACAGACTGAAGATTCCAAGTTGTTTTTTCACATTGTTTCTTGATCATAAACTGGATCTATACTATGCCTAGGCCCCCCAAAAGAAGCTGTTAATCAGATAGGATTAAGCAGCCTTTCTGCTGCATATCTCTGCAGAATTACTAGTAATTTAAGCTGTCAATAGCATAGCTTGAAGCAGGACCAACCTAAATCTCACTATAACTGCCAAGTCTGTCAGTATAGAGGAACCTGGGGCATAGGTTAATCCGATACTGGTAACAATAACAGTTACCATGAAGAAAAAGAAATTTTTGTTTGCTCATCCATTTGCATGTGCACACACACTGAAGAGTTTTAAGAAGCTCATCTGAACCTGGTACGGTGGTCCTGAAGACAAAAGCATTTCAAGAAGACACTATGAAAAGATGTGCACAAAACTTCATACTGCCAATCTCTGTATGCCAAGAAAGGAACAAAGTGAGACTAAGCAAGGGTGTCAGACTGCCTGTTAGCCAGGACACCATTTTTGCTGCTTTTAGTGGAAACAGCTTCAGTTTTCGAAAGTGAACTGAAGATCTTGGAAAACATTCTCTCTCTACAGAGAAAAGAAAAATTCCTTTAAGCCTCCAAAAACGTGCAACTTCATTTTTTCTTAATTCAGATTCAGTCAGGAAAATAAGCAAGTAAATAGCCAACTTCACTATTTGAAACTAATTTGATACCATACAGATATACCAATCCAACAGAGATCTTCATAAGGGTTTCAAATAAAGGCTCTCATCTCTTCTGTTTTGGTAGCATTTCATCTTTTAAGTACAATCATTTTATGTTCCATTAAATAAAAAAATTGTCATGCCTTTTCCTTGTATTTTTCATACACTTTTCAAGAGTTTGATTGCTGTCACCCGCTTTTCCTTTGGTGTCAGGTTTTAAGGGAGAGATGGAAAATGAGCAGTCTGAAGGCTGAAAGGAGCAGTCACAATTGTCATGCCCATTAAGATGGGAAAGGACAGCTCTAATCATATTTTTCTGCTGACTGCAAAGACAGTCAGACTATTTTCTGAAGAATGGAAGCACTGAGTGAAGAAGAGACCTCTGTTTTTAGAGTGATGATACATCTGGTAATTGTGTTTACAGTGGCAACTATATTCGGATGTTTTACCAAACTTCCCCACCTCAGGAACAGACAATGCAGAATGACTCTCAGCAGACAGGATATCTACACTAAGCATGTACTTTCTAAAGCAATCCTTCCTCAAAGGCACAGACTATCAAACTGAAGGGACCCAGAATTCTTCACAGTACCCCTTGCCCTCTGTCACAACTCAATCCAGCTTCAAAGCAGCCTTGGAAAATAAATTTTATTTTTGAACGTTTTCTTTTGTATGTTTAAAATTACTTTTTTCCTGTAAGTATTGAAAAATATTTTCCCCTGTATCTCTAGAAGGTCTTTTTTGTATCTTAATCACAATATAAATGACAACACTTCTCATTCATCTAGGATATCCCTAAAAACATGCAGGGCTTCTTCAAAACCTCACTCAAATCTAAAGAGAATGTCAAACTGTTTGGAGTGCTACTTCTACTCCTGATCAATAAGACTCTTACCTGAGGGCTTTTTTCTATATATAGACTACAGAAAGAGCAAGAGAACACTTCCTAAAATGGTCATTCATTATGTAATACGTGAAATCTATTTCAAGCTTCCTCATGAAATTTTTAAAAGCTTTCATCTGTCCTATTTTTGCTTCTGCTACAAGATAGGGGAAGGCTCTGGATTTCTTACCCGCACTATTTCACAGTCAACATTTAATTCTGCAGCAACAGCTTCTATTTTCTCTCTGCAGACTGAGCCCAGGCTGGTCATGCCATTGTCCCAGTATTTCTTTAGGGTCGCCAAGTCTCGGTCACTAAATTGGGTGCGGTCCTGTAACTGTAAGATAAAAGAAAACAGAATACTGTTTGATTAAAAATCCTTATCCTGTTCATTTAATTTCCAGAGGTCTTGCACACAGTAGGATGTATGTTACACTGTCTTTGTGGCTTTTCTTCTAACTCACCCTTCAGAATTTTTTTTTAAGTTCAGTTACTTATCCAGGCCAGTACAGCGTTCCCTGGGAGTTGCTTGAAAGGCAGTGGCAGTGCTGAAATGAGTTTAAAGCAGTTTAGCTTTGTTCCAAACTCCACCTGATTTTTAAATTTGCTTTATCTTACTCCAAAAGACCTTACTGAAAATAACTTTTTCCACTTGTGCTGTTTACTCTCTCCACCCAATTTATGGAAATTACTCCTTAAGGCTTTTCAAGTTTCTCACCCTCCCCCACCTAAAGTTCTTTTATCTTACTGCAAACTACAATACATGCATAATTCAAAGGATTCTGAGTTCCTAAAGGGAATACTTTAATGTTTATTTGGTGAGCTTCAGAGTTTAAATTGGTTCTACAGTTTATTTGCAAGTTCCCTAACTCTGTGTATATTTATCAAAATAGGTGATAGTAGATTACTGATAATAAGCAGTGAAACTGAGAAACAAATCCTACACTTCCTGCTAATTCTTCCTACCATTTTTATGGGCTTCAGTCTGCCAACAGAACCTTTAAGTTTTATCAATAGCTTTTAGCCAAGAATTTTAACTAACATTTCTGGTTTCTTTATATCAGCCCACGTTTGTCATCTCTCCAGCGATTAGGAGCATACAAACATAACTATAAAGTGCATTAGTCATCACACGTGCCAGATTTGTCATCATTTCAACAGCTGAACTTTGAGAGAAATAATCATGGTCTCACACCTGAAATCCAGGTCAGCCCATTTGAAAACTGGTTGAAGTTAGAATGAAATAACTCTAAAGTGCATTAAAACACAAAATGTTGGAAACACCTAAGCCTCCTTAATGCACTGGTAAAAAGGACATCAAAACATGGCTGTGGCTTCACCCAGCCAAGCACAGAACACCAGAAGCTGCTCCCACCTTGCCATCCAGCCGCTCACACGCCGGGAGGAGCCCAGCAGCAGCCAGGCAGCCGGAGCTGCAGCCGCCCTGTGCCCAGGGCCTGAGCGCAGCAGGGCCTCAGGTGCACTCCCAGATGGCTGCTGCAGCCTGCCTTCAGCTGGGAGACCACCTGGAGCGTCTCAGCACTGCTCAGGGCAGTAAGTGGACTTCACCCGGAGAGCACACTGCTGGACTAAATCCCTCATGTACACTCCTAAGCAGATGCTGGTTAGCCTGACCTGACCTACACTCTGAGTACCTGCAAGCCACCTTTCAAGGATGACGTGGTCATTTCCCAAATCGCTGTGACAATATCTCTTCTTATAGCAGTTGGCAAAGCAGAATGCAACTTCTAAAAAGGGCTGCATGAATTCTGTCGTTTTGCATGGAATGGTCAGGGAGAGGCAGCCTAGCACTGAGAAAAGGGAAGGTAGAAAGGAGTGTGATAGCAGTGCTCACTACAGAAGGAGAAACAAGTCAGTCTGGACTCCCCCACTCTTTGTGATGGGCTGGAAGCTTAGGGCAACTTTATCTTCTGAAGCATATTGACTGTTTATTAAAAAAGTTAAAAGAATTTCTTACTAACATCTAACCTACATCTCCCCTCTTTTAGAAGTTGCTCAGCTTTTGCACACTAAATACATGGATTTAGTTTTTCCTCATACTTGGGAATAAGATGACAACACATATTTTTGCTTTTTGGTTGCTCTTGCAGCTGCTGTCACATCAGGTACTTTACCCTTCCTCTTTCTGCTGAAGGACTCGTGCAGCAGCGCATGAATCACACTGATACTGATCGCAGGTCAGACAAGGGAATGGAGAACAAGCTTTTCCAGTCAACTGATATGAAAGAAAAAAACAAAACTCTACAACACACACTGCATGAGAGAGTCCAGAAAGCAGAAACAAATGGAGAGGAAAGTTGTTCAAGTAAATAGATGATGGTATTCTTTAGAAACACATGAAGTTGGAAACAGAAGCTACAATTATAGAATCATAGAATTGAGTGGGAATGGATGGACCCTTAAAGGTCATGTAATCTAACTCCCCTGCAATGAGCAGGAACACCAACATCTCCATCAGGGAGCTGAGAGCCAGATCCAGCCTGACAGGCCTGAGTATCTCCAAGGGAGGATTGAGACTTGAAATCATACCAGTGCCCCCTAAAGAAAGATATTTGGCACCTGGGGGCTCAGAATGACCAACAGGTCACTGTGGGTAGCAGGCTCCTGCACGTTAACAAACTGCAGAAGCTGCCCACGTGCTTCGCAGACATGAGCTGCACTACACTGCATCAGGGAGCACAAAGGAAGATTCTCTCCTTCACTTACACTGCTCTCACTGCTGGGATCCACCTCAGCCCATAGGCTTACTAAATGTACATAACACCTAAGCTTATTAAAACTCAGATTAGGACTGGCTGCTTTCTGTAAGTGACCATGCAGTGTCTTTGCATGGATTTCTTACACAAACCACATTCAATTACATTATCATCCCCTTCACAAATACTGTAAGTTTGACTCCTGCATTATACACTACTCAAAAATTACTTAACACTCACAAAAGTTGGTGTCTTTTGTAAGGAAATAAAGGGCAGAACTCCTACATTGAACATGCATCTACACTTCCATCTGTTTAGTTAATAACCTCCTCTTATTTAATATCACCAGAGGAATTAAGGAAACAAAGAAGAAAATGTACAGTTCTAGAACTATCACAGCACTGATGGTGATCAGCAGTTACCACACAGAGGGGAAAAAATTAACAAAAAAGATAACACTGAAAAGCTTCATCTTTAAAATAACGCTTCTTGTAACTGAAGACAAGTCAATAATTCAGTTCCTATTTTTTACTTCATTATTACGAACACTGTGAATACAATTCTCATGTCCTTCCTTCAAACTCCCTACTTGCTGATTTGAGGCCCAACTTTATCCTTGAGAGCATTAACTGTCTGTATTAACTGTCTGTGGAATACTTTACATTTATTAGTTCAGCTGTCCATACTTTGAAAAGCAGAGAGAAGCTTCTTCCAGCAGAAAATAGCCCATCAACTCACAATGAAAAGCAATCCTTGTGAGCAAATTGAATCAGCAGTTCTGCCAAGCTCAGGGTTAAACCCTGCTTATCCCCTGACCTCTCAAGTGTAATAACAACACTCTTATAAGAAATGACCCAGTTTATTATAGGCATCCCTGGCACTTGGCCAAGCCCCTCATTATACCCACTGTCTGCAATATTTGTGGTGCCATCCCAGGCTCTGTAATTGGTACGAGTAATTACACTTCAGTGCAGTGTCCTTAGCCCGTTGTTTATTAGCACCTGCCTTTTTTAGATCAGTTCTTATGTGTCAATTGAAAATGTTCAGATTAGGCATATCCTGAAGGCATATTCTGAAGTTAAAGAACTAGGTCAGCAGCCCAGTTCTGATGCTCTGTGATTAAGTGTTCTACGACCACAGTTACTTCTAGCAAATGAACCTCTTGCAACACATACTAGTCACTACTGCAGAGTGTCTTGCTCCCTAGCAAATGTTGCAATTTCTTCTCCAATGGCCAACACTGCATCTCTTTATAGAAAAAACAGGCTAGTCTTCAGCCACACACAACTGACAGAATTTGCTTTACTGTCACTAAAAAAAACCTTTAAAATCTTGGACTGACATTTCCCTTAGCACTATCAGCAGAGATATCAGTCAGAGTATCCCTGAAGAGCCTGCTGTCTGTGGACTGGTGTCCTGTGTGCATTTCCACCCAATCCACTAGGACTCCCAGGATATACACTTCTCCCTGGGGAATTTAAAATAAATAAATAAGGATGCAGCTGGAGGCCATAATTACCAAAATGATTTGGAGGGTTGGTTTCTGAACACTAATTATCCCCATCTCAAGATTTCCTCTGTCAGCACACGAGCAGATCAGTACCTATCACATGGCACTTCCAATCTTAAGACAAAGAAACAGACCAGAAGGCCCCCAGCAAAACGGCTAGGAGTGAGCTGTTAAAAATGTTACCACCAAGTCTCATTCACAGAGCAGAAGATACAGAGAAGAACACAATCTGCAAAGCCTTCAGACAGACACATGCTTGGATGTGGACTGCAAACCATTACAGCTCCTGTACCACAAGTATGCAATCGCAGATTTCTGGAAGAGACTTTTTGCACTTCGCTCCACTGTTTTAGTAAGCCAGATGCTTGCTCTGAGGGAGGCAGGACTAATAAATATTTCAATATTGGCGTATAGTTTTAAAATAAAAAGGCTTAACTGAAGTGCACTTGGTTTTAACCCCTGTGGGTTCCCACTTTACTTAAAAAGCCACCCAGAGATAGTTTTCATCAGTACACATAGGCTCACTGTGGCTGTAGTTTTCACGAGGTTTTTAGATCACAACCCAACAAGAACTTTATTCAGCAGTTGTGCTGACATACCCACACCATCAATGCCCACCACACACCAGCTGCCACTGCTGTTCCCTCAGATGAGCAAGTTCAGCTGGTGGCAGGACTCACAGCAACACAGAGCTGGATCTGGTCCTTTACCTGATCCAAAGTGCATCACTGTACTCCTGTGACAGACTCTGAGCAGAACACTTTAATGCCAGTGTCTCTAGAATTTTATGGAAATTGGCTTTAATGGCCCAGTGATCTAAATGCAAATGTTCATGACAGAAGCTCTCCACTTACTCCACAGTACAGAACTCCATGTTTTTTGAAAGGCATTCACATGAATAACAGAGTGATAGTTCTACACTAATATTCACTAACAGTCAGGATTACATCATTCTAGAGCACAGCTGAGCAGACCAGCAAGAGTTTCTGTAGAACTGTACAGTTATTTGACTCGATGCAGCTGAAGGACAAGGAGAGGAAAACAAATTACAAGGCAGAAGATTAAAACAAATTCAGAGCATCTAAAACACAATCTTCTCTATTTTAAACAAAATACAGATCAGCCTTTTTGCTTCTTGAATGGTAGTAATTGCCATAATCACGTTCTACAACTTCATGCATTCTATTTCTGTTTCTTCATGTTCTTTCTTCAAAAGAATTTCACATTTGAAACTGAAGTTTCCTAAGAAATAGGAGACTTTCCTGTCTTTCATTTCCTTACACCTGTGTACATGTATCAGTTCTGGAGTGCCAAACCCACAACTACATGGCCATTACCCTGGTCACCTCTAAAAAAATAAAACTTTGGCATACCAACGCACAAGCCATCCAGTTCCTCGATTGTTTATCCAGCTCACTCTACATAGATTCATCTATGGAGAAGTCCTACATCCCAATTTAAATCAGATAAGGGTAAATATTGCCATCAGAAGTAATTCATCTGGAATGACTAACAGAAAGGTGAATGCTTCCTGCCCTGCACAGCAAAGGAGAAGCTCCGCTTATGGTTCACTCTGTGCTGTGAAGATTACTGCCTTGGAAGTGTACCTGTTGCCTCTCAGTCATAACATAACCTCCCTGAAATATCTACTGCAATTGCTTACATCTGCATTTTCCCGTTAGGTTCATCCCCAGATGGCAGTGCAGCCTTCATAGAGCAAAAAGAGGGGGAAATAAGTAAATCAATCAGTCTTGTGTTGCATTCTGGTTGAAAAGGGATGGGAGAAATAAAGAGAAACAAATTCTTTTACATAGAGAATTCAGAGCAAAAATGCATTGGAAAAAAATAGTTCACATTGTTAAACAGGTGATTAAAATTACAGTTTATGGAGAGAGGCAATGCTTAAGCAGCAGCAGCTGATGTTAATGGAAAAGCCTTCCCTTATGTGGGTATTCCCAAATACCTAAGGCTGGAGAAATGAGAAGTTGCAGTGCTTACCTCCAAAATAAGAGTGGGAGTATGGTGTGCTGTGGGGAAAGACAGCTACACTTGAAATGCCAGAAGGAAGTGGATCCACCAACCCCTCCCCAGGAGACTCTACCCTTGGAGAGATCTCACTTGCAAACAGTGAGCAGACTGGCACAGTAACTTCCCCTGCTACAGAAGGAATCAGTCAGCAAATCTGTAGCTCATTAGGAGATAAAATGTCCCAAATATCTGCAAGAAAAGATGTCAGCTGCTCACTGAGCTGCTCATGTGCCTGCTCAAGCTTCAAGAAATTCCACACCCACGTTTTCTCTCACCCATCCCTGTCATACACACACTACATACACTGAAGCCGAGGTGGCAAGCTAATTACCGGAAGTCCATGCAAATGTTTTGTGTCTCATTAGTTTGTACATACAGAAAAGAAGAAATTGATACGAAAAAATGTAACATGCTCAATTGTTATTCCCTACTGAAAAACATTTTAAGTCTGTCTGATACATAAAGTATCACAAAGTCTGAATGATAGCAAAGAACAGATAAGTATTTTCAGAAACAAATTCCATGTTTAGAATCTTTCTTAAGTTATAATTTTTTCCTGACTCAAAAGTTGAAGATGTCCAGCCTAAACATTATCCACTGATATTAAACTGAGGACACAAGAGGAGATTTGGTGTTACTCCCAATATCCTTGCAGTTGAGGGCTCTGCACTGGACCAGGACAGAATCTGCCGCACGTGGCTGCAATCAACATCAGTAACTGCCTTTGTGCACCACTGCTACTCATACCACAGAGATGGAAAGTGTACAGGAAGGAGCATTTTGGCACTATGGTGTCATAATGAAATAAGAGTGCCAGTGCAAAAATTCACAGCTAGTTCTTGCTGCCCCACCCTCCTCATCACTGCTGCCTACTCAGAGCTATGCTCATCTGATCCCAAGTACATTCAGCTCACTAAAACCTGGAAAAATACAAACTCAGCAGAAAGAAACTCAGTGAAAGAGATGTACCTGACAGGTCAGATGCTTAATTTGGATTACCTTGCAATTAGATACCAGCACCAGTGTTATGGCTGGGGTGGCAGTGCACCCATAGGGAGCATGGGTGGAATAAAATTCCTCCTTTTCAATTGTGAAGCGCTGTGAAACCACGTCAGCCAGCTCCTGAGACTGCACTCGAGGGCACTGACTGCCTGCTTGATGTTTGAAAAGGTCATTAAATGATAGTGGGATGGTGCCTTCCAGAAAAAGGCTACAGTCTCAAGAAAACTTGTACATGGAAGGAAAAAAAAAAAAAGATGGAATGTACAACAACAGGACTTGATACTTCCAAGAATACATTTAGATAAAATGTCTCATTCCTGTACCTGATGTATTAGATACTTGAATGGAAATATACTTACTGCTCTTTTCCTGGAACAACCTGTAATCCAAGGCACAGTAAGGTTTCCTGAAATCTGTAAAGAAGGGGAAAACAGAACAGAAAACAACAGCAGCTTAGGTTGCTATGATAACAAACAGCAAGCAACTTCCAGAAGACTTCGATACTGTGGTCCTGATAACAACATTTAAGATAAATTGAGATTTAGAAGCAAAGTGAAGCCACACTTAGCATTACTGTTACAGGACTAAAAACAGAACTGCTTCCTCACATGAGAGTGACAACACAACGGCAATTCAGATACTTATGAACTTTTGCTGTCTCAAAACTTACAGTTCAGAATACAAGTTTACATCTCATAACTGCACAAAGCTTGAAAGATTAAGCAGACCAGAGTTAGTCCCGGGCCTCATGTTTAACAGCACTGTTCTATTTTTCAATTATGGCAGTTAAACCTTCAGAATAGAAAAAAAACAAAATCCACCAAGGCATCAGTAACTGAATTCTTCAATGTCAAATACCAAGAATTTGCAGAGTAGGAGAAAAACTAGGGACATGAGGCTAATGAAGGAAGAGGAATGGGTATGAAGGTGAAGGCTAGCTTCCTTGATTCTCATCACTCCTCCATCATTCCTAGACGTCAGACTTGTTACAAAATAAAATAAAATCTTGTACTATTTTCCCTGGACATGTGCAATGTTTTATATCCTGGAATATTTTAGGCTTATTTAGGATTCCATGTCAGCTTCTGCTACAGACGAGCAATGCTTCAGAGAATAAACACAGCTCGAGAGATTAATCAATCTCATGTCATTACACATGCTGTACATGAGGAAGACAAATCTCCTCCTGATGACTCTATCAAGTACACTAAAGTTTTTGTATTACGGAAATGCTCTAATAATGAATCTTTCAGCATGGGTCTGACTGAATACAGAATACCTGGTACAGTTTGTCTGTTGTCCAGTATCTTCATTCTCCAAGCTTTTAGCTGAGTGCTGAGGGTTACCTAATGGCAGGCTCTCATTACAGCACAAGGAAGGTTGAGGAAGAGAGCTAGAATTAAACACCTTTCCCTCCTAAAAGGAAGTCTGCACCAGCTTTCATATTTAAATTATTCATTTCTTAGTAGCACACATTTTAGAACCAAGTTACAACTATTAAGATTTGCTGTCCCACACAACAGCAGTGCATTCCATAGTCACACAGTTGGTTTTTCTGAGACTTCCCTGTTCAGTCGTTTTGTGTTTTTTCCCTTGCTAAATTAACTACAATGCAAAGCTGATTTGGATCACATGTAACACTAGTGTGTATTCTTATACCTCAGAAGAGCAACAAATTTCAAGTGGAGCTTCAGAAAACAGTGCTTTTCTGTGCAAGTCAAAGGAACAGCAGAGCATTAACAGTTAAGTGGAAGACACACACACACTAGTTCTGACAGATCTGACGTCAAATACAGTACTTCAGTGTAACTATCTGAAAGACAACATACATGGAAACATACACTGAAATCTGAAATGGCACTAAAAGTGGTTATGCAGTACAAGGTCCCTGCACAGCCTTTTCCCAGTTTACCTGTGGATTCCCTGTCCTGAACTCTCAGCACTGGGACCATTCAGCAGCCCCCACCACCCTCAGCTGCTGCATGTCCCGTGGAAGTGGAGGTGGCAGGCAGTGCTCCTGCTCCCTGCTGCTCTCCCCAGCATTTCCACACGCTCTCTCTGATCACCCCTCTGCAAGCATCCTTAAAGTGAACCTTAGTAATAAAGAAATAAGTACTATCTGTATATCTATATATACTACTCTGCCATACTTGCTGCAAGATTTTGAACTTTCCCTAGAAGAGTATGGGGCTAAATTAGATCAACAGTGCTTCAGTGTGTATAACAAAGTAATTAAAACAAACAAACAAACAACACACATACTTTTAACAACGTTTTTGTAGGGCTGGGGAAGGAAACTAAGGATAAATCCCTACTCAGCCCCGAGGACCAGTAAGTACAGCCTCTCCTGCTCAATAAGCTCAGCACCAAACTAACAAAAGTTAGTAGGTTGAACAATTTGCTTAGCAAAACTGCTCAGGCATTAAAATCAATCATTTTATTAAATTTATTTCCAGTTTACACTAAGATGAATTTGATTAACTGAACCAGTAAGAAAGCTATAACTAATTGCTAATTAGATGCCCCACCAATGTACAACAGTAATCACTTCATCAAAACAACATCACACGTTCCTACCTTTGAAGAAGCATCTGCTTGGATGTTTAACTACTCTCACAATCACATAACTTAAGTTTAATCTGTTTTTAAATTGAGGAAGATATCCCTGCGTTTAAGGGTTTTCACTGTTGGCGCTGCTCTGAAACGTGCTCCAACTCTCAGCAAGGAATACAGTGATCAGAAGTCAGAGCCACCATTCCTTCAAGGCAGTACAGGATCCGTCCAGCTTGTAGGACACTTGTCCTCTGCAGTTTCTACAGAATCATGACATGCCTTAAGACCACAGCTTTTATCTTCCCCTATAAATTCTAATACTGAAAAGTGCCATCTTAATATTTCACAGAGTGGATTGCTACAGCAACAAATGCACTAACAGCAACCTTCCCAGTTCTTTCAAGGTTTAAGAGTGCGTAAGGGCAAAGGATGCCACAGGAGATAGGATTTTCTGAATCCAAGGTATATTCCTAAATCCAAAGGGCAAAGGGTTTGTGAAAGAATCACATGGAAGTCAAATGTTGCAAAGAATTCCTCACTTACCAAACAATAGGTACATCATTGTAACAGAGGACAAAAGCATCAAAGAGACAACAATAAAGTAAGTTACAGAGACATCCCTGATCTGATTTATACCATACTACATGGCCAGACAGAATGGTTCATGATAGGTGGCATTTAATCTATAAAGAGATTCAGGCCCTACCCCAAAGTATTCCAAATCCAAGTTGTTTTGTTGTTGTTGTTTTTTAATTTCTAATGAAATTTGAAAAGAAAGAAAGAAAGAGAAAAACATACTGACAGTTTTTCAAAAGTGAAATAAAGCGCTGAGAGCACACAGCTGGATGTAGCCATACTGCATTCCATTAAGTGAAACTTTTCTCAATGGTTTCCTTAACTGTACTTCATGCACTTTTGCAGTTTTACAGTCCCTTTACAAAATCGATGTGCATATTTATAGCTTTTCTTCTCTTATGAAGCAGTATTTAATGAATTTTTTAAATTCAAGAAGAGTAATATCAAACACTGAGACTGTATGAGAGGAAAAGGGAGAAAGGGGAAAAAAAAACAAAATAGCACCTTTGAAGTATTCAGCTTACAAAAGGCCACAAGTAAGGACAAGTAAGCCAGTGTCCTATCTACTGCACAGAATCCAGCCCAGAATAGTTGTGATTTCTGGTGAGAAGGGGCACTTATAGACTCAAAAAACCCTTTCTTTCTAACTCTGACAGGATACAGGGACAAGTCGGAAAGAAGAGGGGGGGGGGGAAAAAGAGAGACAGAAAAACCACCATATATCCTATTATTCTCTGTACTAGTGAACAACACACATTAAGAGATGGTTTTTTGTATGGTTCATCTTCAGGATAAATTAAAACAGAAATAGCATGCATAAGCAATGAGTAATACCACAGCCTGTCAGTCATAAGACACTGATGGAAGAGCTAATCCAACCTGACATTAATAAGGGCAAGCAACTGTACAGCACATGGATGAGGGTGTGATCCCATGTTCTGCCCTATGCCACATGCAAAGTATGTCTGCAGAGAACCAAAGGGTACAGCTGTGACATGCACCGGTACGCCAAGTCAGGACACAGGGCTTTGGCCCGTATCAGCAACTGCAGGTATGATCCCCATGTAAACAAAGTTTATCTACTGAATACACAAAGCCCACGCTGCCCTTCAGTATGTGACAAGCCACTGCAGCCACAGGCTCAGCTACCCAGATAAAAGTGCTACCATACCACAGTCCTACCTTCACTTTTAATAAGGAATTACCTCTGTTGAAAGACATAAATGGAGCACAGCATACAGAAATACAAACCTACCACTTATTAGCTAACAAATTCCAAAGATAACAGTACTTATCAACGACCTTGTCTTCAAGATTTGCAGACAGATATTTGACAGATTACCTGGTAATTATTTTGGTTTTGTGACAGCCTCAGTTGATTTGAAGATGTAAAATGAGGAGAAAAAGTACTTCTTGATGTATTAGCAGTGTTATATAATGTACTGGATGTATGTAATGAGGTCCGTGCAGGCAAGTGGTAGTCTCTGCTGTGATACAGCATACTGTCAGGCACGTCCCTGGCATTCACCATCTGAGAACTACAGCTCACATTTCTTCCTGGCCCAGACAAGGCTGCACTTTGGTTCTCCACTCGAACAGAACTGTTACTTTCACAGTATCTTGAATAGTTTTGTATTTGTGCTCCCATGGATGCTAGTTCTTCTTCTCTAGCATATTCATCATCCACATCTCCAGTTTCCATCGCAATGGACAGAGAGCTGCCTTCCACTGAGCAGTGCTTCTGTGCTGTACTTCCTCCCACAATTCTTTGAGGTTGATCTGTAACCGCCAGAGAAAACACCTCGCGGATTTCCAGGTTTTGTGTGCTACAAGAAGGGTCCCTAGTGTTAGCCCTTTGTCCAGGGGGCACATGCGATGCAAGGGCTGCATGTTCTGGTTTTTGTAACCTCTGACATCCCATGAGTTCAGCTTTGCAGGGTCTGTGGCATATCATTGGTTTCTGAGGTAACACCAACTCTGCAGTTTGGACTGATGAACCACCATAGCTTTTTTTTGTGTGACTATAAATGGAGTTCGCAGAATTCAGTACACTTGTTTGTCTAGATAAAATAATCGTTTTTTCCCCTACTAATAGTGAGGCATTTTTACAGTGTGGTATTTGTCGCCCTATAGGGATGTGCTGCTGCTGAAAGTCTGAGTCACTTTTTCCTGGTAGTCTTGGAATAGAGGTTTTATGTATTTCTGCCATTGAAGCACTTGTTTGCTTGGTGGATCCCTGCCTACTGGATGAACTAGCAGGACTGTATATACCAGTAACTATTACATCGTTATTAGAAGAGGTCCAAGAAGACTGCTGACTTTGGGACCGAGCAATATTTACCACATTTCTAACTGCTGCTTCTGGTGGTACCGAGGGAGCAGCAGGGGCAGTCCCTGGGGGAGCACCTCCAGATTCTACAGCACTCTTGCTGCTCATCTTCCTTCTTTTATTGCCAACCCAGGTCTGCAAACAATAACAAACACATGCAGTAAATAAGCAGAAAACATTAGCCAACTTCAGTTTTAAAGCAGAACTGATAAAGTGTTAAGTGTTGAAATGGCCACAAATCATTCAGTGTTACGCAGATTCTGAACAACTCAAGGTAGAAATCCATGTCTCTCAAGCTTGGGACTCACGCAGGAATACACATGAGAAGCCATCTTGACTTCAGATCTCCAGTTTCTCAGAATCCCTGAGACTGTATCATGCCTTCTATCCCAAGGCTATCCTTAAGATTAATTCCACTGGCATCCCATCACTATTTTCCCTAAATATCAGTTTTTATATTTAGCACTTTGGGGGTGCCAAACCTTCACTGAGATATACACCTAGATTTACTTCTAAAAGAAGGAAGATTCTGTAACCAAGTAACGGACAGACACAACTCTCAGAACTGCCTTGAACAGAAACCATTACTTCTTGAATTCAGGTTAAGAGGAAGAAGAGAAGAACAGGAACAACTCCTTCTGATAAAACACTTTTGTAAAATATTTAAACCTACAGAGTAATTCCTCTTCTGCCAGCTGCACAAGACAAGATTAGTACTGGGGTTAGACTGCAACAGAAGTTTGCTATGATGGGCATTTCTGAAAGTGACAATGACCATACATAGATACATTTTTCAAGTAGGTAATTCTTCCTCTGCTATAAGCGTTGAGCACAAGATCCTGTTGTTCTAAACACAGAATCACAGAATTGTAGGGGTTGGAAGGGACCTCCAGAGATCATCGAGTCCAACCCCCCTGCCAAAGCAGGTTCCCTACAGCAGGTCACACAGGTCGGCATTCAGGCAGGTCTTGAACATCTCCAGAGAAGGAGACTCCACCACCTCCCTGGGCAGCCTGTTCCAGTGCTCCGTCACCTCACTGTAAAGAAGTTCTTGCACATGAGGAAACATGAGGAACACAGAGGAAAGTTTGTCATGCAAGTAACAAACTAAGGTATAGCTAAAGGAACTTAAGGGGAAATATTAATTCAGTTCCAAGATAAAGAGAATCAACCTGGTGGAATCATCAGCTCTAACACTAGAAGCATAAGCACCATTTAACTGCTCCTGGAAACTTACATGATCAGCAAGGCAGGACTTGCTTCATTCTTTCACCACAGTATGTTTGTGCTGAATGTGACAGTATAAGTAAGCAAACATAAGGGCCAAAGAACTTAAAATAAATAATCCTTTAGCATCAGCTTCTGCTGGTTATTATACATAGATACAGTGAAACAGTCATCTGTACCACTCTGGGTATCATGTGCCTTGGTTTGGTTTTACATGTGCAGCACATCTCAGCACTGAGCAGCCCAAACGAGTTGATTTAATCAACCACCAACCTCCCCATTTAATACCAGACCAGGCTGCCCAGGGCCCCATCCAATCTGGCCTTGAACACCTCCAGGGATGGGGCATCCACAGCCTCTCTGGGAAGCTGTTCCAGCACTTCACCACTCTCTCTGTAAAAAGCTTCCCCCTAAATCCAACCTAAATCTTCCCTCCCTCAACTTAAAAACATTCCCATTTCTATTGGGGAAGTAAAGAGATGTTCTAGAGCAAAATATACTCCCCTGTTTTAAACAAATATCTTGATATCTTGGGGGGTTGGACTCGATGATCTCTGGAGGTCCCTTCCAACCCCTACAATTCTGTGATTCTGTGAAATTCCTGATCCATTCTACTCATGTTCCTCATCCAATTTTATAAAGTGCCTAATTTGAAACATGATTTATTACATCAATCAAATCTCAGTTACTTGTTTTAGAATTCTGCTTCACAGAACCAAATTTAAATACATGAAATTAGAGCTGCAAGTCTCAAATTGTTTCCTTTTATTGCTTAAAACAATTTTAGAAGATCAAATTTATTTTTCATTATTTCTTCTCAGTCAGCAAACTTTTAAATCAGAAATTATTATTAGGGATACTGCAGATTTTGATCCAGGGAAAGAGACACCCCCCTGAACTTCAGACTGTCCCATAACCTATACACACGCCGAGTGGCTGAGTGCTACTGTTTTAGTTTTAACCAGTTCCACCCTAAATATGACAACAAGATGTTCTCAGGATCTGCTTCAAAAGATATGGAAGAACAACAAAGCTCTGTGTTCTGTTACAGTCACATTTACTGTTGTAGTGAGGGGAGAACCACACACTACCACCCAGATCAGTGCTCCTCAGCACTTGGTGATAACAGCTATGAAGATTGAAAGCTGGAGAACATCCGCACTTCAACAAGTCATACCTGCTCATACTTACTGCAAAGCCAACCAACAGTAAAAATATACTAATATTAATCAACAAAACCACGCCATTCAAACCCTGCATGGTTCAACATTTCCATTAAATTTGAAGAGGGTAGAGGATTGTCCTAGAAGCAATCTTCCAAGTTTCCTAATTTTGAAAGGGAGAGACGTTTTGTATGCCTCACAGTGATAAAACCTGCATATGTTCCCACCAAATCATAACACACCTTGAGATTAGGAAAACCAGATGCAGTTCTCTGGAACAGGGTTACAGAAATCCTCACTTGGGAAATGAATTAGTTTATTTATAGAGTTATGAAATTTGAATTATAATATACATTTAGGAAATTTGTGTTGCTCTTACATCTGCAAGCGTCAGCTGCAACCTACACTTCATTCTGTTCGACAGCATACAAGGAAGTACTAATCCTGGACCAAAAGTCTTACAGAAAAACAAAACAGCACGCTGCTGAGAGGCAAAAAGGAGAAGTATGAAGAAGAGAAAGACAAGATCATAAAAAAATAAGACAAATGCAGGACACATGGTATGTTTCCACTTCAGTTCACAAGTAGGAAGAGTTTACGTTACGTGAAGAAGGGCTCAGCAAAGAAGACAACTAAAGAAAAAGGTTGTGACACATTACTGCAGTAAGGATAATAGAGAAGGGAATGGTAATAGGAAGATGGAAAGTGAAAGAGGAGTGCAAACAGAGGAGAGACTGGCTGCCTCCTCTGGGTCCTTGAATCAGAGTAAAAATAGAAAAATAGGCACAACTATACCATCAGCAAACAGATTCCTGCTACAAATCTCCATCTGTGAGTTAGAATTTATGGGTGATTTTCAGAGCATCCTGAGCTGAGAAAGCAACCTGAATATTTCCAGAGTATTCTGAGAGAGGGGAATCTAGTTAAGAATTAAGGGGCAGAAGCAGCTGTTGTATACCACAGGCTCATCCAAGAAGCATTAAACTGGTCTCGTTTTCTCCTTCTCAGTGCCCAGTGCTGCAGCACCTACTGCTAGCTTCACTACCACTGTTATTCCTTCAATTTATGCTCCATGATTTCTATTTCTGCTACAAGACAACAGCCATTTTACTGTTCAGTGTTTCACAAAAGGATTCTTATTCCCTTTCCCATGTGATTCACAGACTTTGGAAGAGCTCCTGTTAGCACTACTGACATTCTTCTGTAAGTAAACAATGTAGTCACTGTAAGTAATAATGTGTGACATGGAACATCAATGTGGCAGTGTTTTCTATGAAAAACTGTGATATTTTTCCCCAAAATACATTAGGTCATAGAAACTGCTTTACCTTAAGAATAGTTTTCTACCAACACGACCTTTCTTTGGTACAATACACTGCACTAAGTTTCTATAGGGAAATTCCATTTGCAGTTTAATTTAAAAAATGCAGCCAACAAGAGAAATCAACAAGAGACAAAAACAAAAAGACGAAAACAAACCACAACCAACAACAAAACAAACACTCCTTGTGCCACCAAGCACCTGCTTAACACAGCAATCATGCCATGACATTTCAGTCTATAAACAGGCTCACTGGATACAAATGCACACGTCATACAAGTATGAAGTCTGCCTTACAGACACACAGGAAGACACTCCAGTTCTCTGAAGATATTTGGTGTGAAGGAATGAACATGTATAACTTAAAAATAAGTAACTTACAAACTTACACACAAATTTGGAAAGCCTCAGTACTTACCCTGACTACACTGAAGTCCAGTTTAGTTTCTTGTGCACACTGCAATATGAGCTGAAAACAATTTTTACTTTGATTTGTCATTCCATTTTCATAATAACGCTGTAATATCCTTTGCTGTTCTACAGTAAATACAGAACGCAGATTCATCTAAAAAGAAAAGAAGATACTCTGAAAGTTGGAATACAAATTGTAACGCAGAATGCATAAGCACTTATTTATGCTTGTGATAATGTTCAGCACTGACATCTTTTCCTTATGCGATCCTTTACCAAAACTTTCACATCCTTTCAAAAACAAATAAACAAAAACCCCTGAAACAGCAACACTGTTACAGTCAGCATTCCTTTGAGACAGACTCAAGTCCAGCACCACATGTTTGGAATGCCACTGACAGAATTCCCTAAGAAAGCATTACATTGTATTGCTAGATCCATGAACTTCCAATTTAAGTCAAAATCTTTCACTTTCACTTAAAATAAAGAAAAAAAAAAAAAAGCATTAGGCAAAACAGAGCATTGCAGCAATATTGCAGATGTGTCCCTTCCTCTACCAAAGTGAGATACATGATCTGAGAGAAGAATGCAGGTTGCAGTCTGGCATGAGGAGTTCCCACTGACTCTGGCTTCAGCAAATCCTACACTACTATGGCTGGTCATTCGTACTCCTGCTGTGTCAGCACTTTGCAGCTGCAAGGTCAAAAAGATCAGGAACCAGAACTGGAAACCGACTCAAAGAACAACCACAAACAAACAGAAAGGTCACAGGCAGCACGGACCAGCTCCCTGCCTGGGAAGCCACAGCTACGTGGGGCTATGGTGGAGGCCCAAGGGCCAAGGCAACCTTTTCAGCAGCAGTTCAGTGGCTGTGTTAGACCAGGTGCAGCTTCATGGCACATTAAAATCATTCCTGAGATTGGAAATTGCAAACAAATTAATACAGAAGAGATTCCATAGTGGCAAAGTGAAGTTTCACATTAGTTATATGCTCTAGGCAAGCCAGTAACATACAATCCCCTGGTTATCTATTCTGATTAGAATTACTGAAATCAGCAAGTAAAGCCCCACCACCACAACATTTCCAAAATAGGCCCTTTATTTTGTCTTAAACAAAATGGAGCCAGCTGAGACAATGCAATCCACTGTCCAGAAATAGCCCACATCTGACTGTGCTTCAGGAGGAGAGGGGGGAAAAAAAAAAAAAAAAAAAAAAAAAAAAAGCCATCACCACAAGTTGGGTCAATACTTTAAATATTCACTTCAAAATAAGGCAGAATGAATGGAAGAATCCATACCAGAATCTTGCAGGACAATAAAGTGGATGGGGGAAGTCTTAGTAGTTACCAAGCTTTTAATTACTATTTTTGGAAATTTCAGAGGAAAGTAGTAGAGTAGAAATAGGCCTAGTCCTTGCAGAACATCTAATGGAACAAACAGAAAATCATTAAGGGTTCAAAAGCACAAGCAAAAATTACTGCATTCTTTTCAGCTCAAAAATCAAAGATGATTTTGTAATCACATTTTTACCTCTGTTCCTAATTCTTACTTTATATTCTCAGTCAAGTGCATTACTACCAAAGTCAGGCATTGCCAGAGTTATGCACCTCTCCGAATCTGTATTTTAGTTATTTTCAAGCTGGGCAAAGGAGTGACTTGCTTTGAATGTTGTGCTGTTGAAAAGAAGGTTGAATAACAAACCAATAAAGCTCATAAAAATCTACTTTCTAACATTAAGATCAATCTTCCAACCTCCCCCGAGGACGCACATGATGATTCAGTCACCACCTGATTTATGCTACCTCTAAAAACAGAATCAGGGTACACAGAGTTGGAAGGGACCCACACAGACCACTGAGTCCAAACCCTGGCTCCACACAGGAACCCCCCCCAAAATCCAAATCCTAAGTGTGAAAGCATCGTCCCAAAGCTTCTTGAATTCTGGCAGCGTGGGGCTCTGAGGAGCTGATTTAGTTTTGACCTGGGGCCCCAAAGCAATTGGCATGGCCCACATTACACTTCCGTGTCTATTACTTTCCCACTACTTGTGGTTCTGTTTCAGAAAAAAAACAAAACAAACAAAAAACAACCACAAATCTCAACTATATGGATTGCATATTTAGCAAAATCTCATGTGACACGTGAGCTGTTCATAGCAGGGCAGGAAACAGAAATTCTCACAAAGACCTTAGATTACACAGAACAAGAGGAAGAAAACCACCTGATATGAAGGTAATTGCTGATCAAGTCATTAGTTTCCTTCTTTTGACTTCCTAATTTCTTTGAGATGTATTACCTGTTTTAGCATCAGTTTTCTTAGCTATACAGAACAAGATATTAATTCTTACATTTTCTTTGATATCAGAGTTCCCTGACTGTTAGTAGAAATACACACAAATTGGAGATAACTTAAGTGCTGACGTTACCTAGCAGTAATTCAGCCACATTAGTATCAAGGGAATCAGCAGCTCTTACGTCTCCATAATGAATTTGGTATTATTCAGGACAATCTGTAACACCAAAGGATGTAATCTCTGTTTCCCAATTTGTGTACCTACAAAGTATACCAGTTTGTTTAGATTGCTCACCTTTATCTTGAACTGCAGACTCCACGTTAGAAATCCACATGGATTCTTATCATAATTTAATTTTAATCTTGACTCGTCAAGCTTAGAAAAGACACGTAGGAGTTTTTTGGAAAACCAGGCGTCCAGCTGGTGGGCAACACATTGAAACTGAAATGAGAGTTTGTTTCAGAAAAGAATGCTGTGAAATTTGTGAAATTAGGGCTGAGCAGTATGCAAAGAGAAAGCCCATGAACCTTCAATAAGAGCTTGGGGTAACAAAGCCGTGTTTGGAACAATTCAACATCTGCCTGCTCTGCTAATAAAATGAGGCAGCTTTGGCATGCATGTTGATGTTCAAGTGACAGTGCTGGGAACAATCTACAACAAATACAAAACTAGGTTTGCTGAATTTCCTTCACAATTGTTATGAGCCCTAAGCCAACAGACATCATTCAGCTTTCCATCCCGGTAATCTCCCACTCCTCAATCTACAATAAGCCCACCGAGATAAAGACGTTGGACTTCGTTCCCTTTCTAAACTGAATACTAATTGAAAAAAAAATGTATTACCAGTAGAAGCCCTTCTCTAAATGCAGTGGTTAGGGAGACATAAATGTACTCTGAGTGCTGAAGCCAGGCCCTGGGGATCTACAGCTCATAACACTAAGAATGAAGATGGGTACTGCAATGCCCTTCAGTTTCTTCAAGGCTGCTGAATATGAGCCTCGGGAAGAACAACCCTACTGACACATTTCAGCCTGTCACACTTGCTCCTCATCAGAGGAAATCAAGGTTATTTCTACGGCTGAACTTCTTTAGACAACGGTTCAGCGACTTTTCCCAGAACTATTTACCATCTTTGCCTTCTTGTGATAAGAGCAAGCATGAGTGAGAGGGGGGAACACAGAAGAATTAATGCCAGGTTGGCTTATGAAGCAGTACTGCATTCTCTTTATGAACTGTACGCTTCATGAACAGCTGTGCCCCATGGGTGGCCATAACGACTCCATCCAGCACCTGGAATCAGGAAGCTCTCCGGGCAGCCCAAGGATACCTGGTGTCAAGGAGTATCACAAGAAAAGGGGGAATGCTCCTGTACTAACAGCTCTGTCTGGAGAAACAAAAACAAGTGTATCCAGCAGCTACTTATCTGTTCTGCCATGACTGCTTCAAAGATTTTGGGAAAAAAATATATAAAATGAGAAGCAGCAACAGAAAAAAAAAAAAAAAATACACATTTGTTGTCATTTACAACATTTGCAGACATCAAGAAGACGTGAGGTACTGAGAGTGCTGAGCCACGCAGCCTCACGAGGCAGAGCTCTACCCTGACAATGAACTCCTCTGAGTGCTGGGAAACACAAACTTATGAATGTCCCTGTAATTCCAAACAGAAATTCATCTTGGACCCGAAATCGTACTTAGGAACGTTTTCACTCAGAGTACATGACGCTACAAGGACCTGCATAAAACATATTTACGTTATAAAACCGCCAGGGATTCACACGCAGTGACAGAAGGAAACAGGTGCTTTTGGTTGCTTGCTTGCTCCCAACCTGAGCATTAGCAAGAGAAGGAACACGAGAAGCAAACGGCACCACGGCCACAACGCCCACCCCGCCGTGCAGCAGAGGGCGGTGACGTGAGTTCCGCGCATGCGCACACTCCGCCCTGCCGCTCTCCAGCCCGGCTCTGCTCAGCGCAGCGCGCAAGCGCAGTCTCCCTCCCTCAGCCGGCCGCAGCCTGAACCCGCTCGCGCCGCGCTGAAGTGCGCGCACGCGCAGCGAGAACCTTTCCCCCACGCACGCACGGAGCGCGCCGAGCGGCCGTGCGCGTGCGCGCTTCCCCGGCGGCGGGTGCGCAGCGCCTACCCGTGCGGGGCCGCCCGGGGAGGGGCAGTGCGCGTGCGCGGCCGAGGCGGGTCTGCGCGCGAGAGCGAGCCCGCGCGGCCGCCCTCCCCCACCGCCGGGCCGCCGGCCCCGGGGCGCCTCCCGCCCGCCCGGCCCCGCCGCGGCGCCTCACGGGCCCGGCCCCCGGCCGAATCCCTTGGCTCCGGGACCCGGCCGCCGCCCGGCCCCGCTTACCGTGCTGCGCGGGGCCGGTCTGGGGGGCTCGGGGCTCCGGATTCAGCCGGTTTCGGCTGGGTCGGTCCCGGCGTCACACAATGAAATCAGCGCCTCCGATCATTAATTCTCATCATGATCGTGACGTCAGCGCAGACAGCGGCCAATGGGAGCGTGAGATCAGCGCCGGCCGGGACGGTGCTCGCCCCCGCCCCCCGGTCCGGGGGGGCGCCGCCGCCCTCAGACCCTCCGCGCCCCGCGCCTGCCGGCATCCCGCCCCGAGCGGCAGCGGTGGGCGCCGCGAGCGGCCGGTGGAGGGGCGGCGAGTGCCGAATGGTGGCTGAACAGCATTGGCCGCACTTTGCAGCCTTTTACTGTTGGGCAGGAGGGGAGGTGTGTCCCGTAAAATCGAGAAGATAGAAAAGGAGCAGGATTTCGATTACGCGAGCATCGCGACGGTGAAGAAATGAACTTTTCGTAGCTTGAGATCAGTACGCGTACAGCTGAGAGCCCACGCGTGCGGCACGTGGCCGGGCGCCGCACAATGCCCGCGCGCCCACCGGCGCCGCGTCGACATCACGCCGTGCCTTTGTGCCCAGCCGCGGCGCGAAGCAGCGCTGCCGGCATCGTGCGGCCCGGCCGTGTCTGCAGGGACGCCGCGGCCCCGAGGGCGGGAAGCTCGACGGCACGCAGCGGGCTGCGTGGTGTGGCGGACGCTTGAAATCACGTCAGTCTGCTTGTATTGGCTCTGATGTAGCAGTTAGAAACCGCGGGTTCGAGGCCCTGTTGCGTTAATAAAAAACCTTCAGGCTTCCCCCGTTGCAGCCCTGAATAGTTCACAAGTTCTGGTGTGAAAATGATGTGGTTAATTTTGTGCCGTGATGTTAATGTGGTTTCGTCAAATGCGCTGGGCAGAAACACGAGGGCTGGCACTGGCAGCAGGAAAGCAGTCAATACGTGTGTACAGCTATTTCAATATTACAATCTGTTACTCATATTTGTAAAACCAATTTTTAATATATTTAACTCTGCTTCTGGCCACCAACGTTCTGTCCGGGTTTCCATCTAGGAACAAGCAGCTGTGTGTTCACTCACAAGTAAGGGTTGTCCTTCTAGAGTACCTTTCAGTAGTTGATGTTCTGTCCACGTTGTAATTACATTTCCTTTACCACATTGGAAAGTCAATCCATCAATTAATAAAGCTTAATTTAGCTAAAGATTTTGTTACTGATAGTGTTTTCAGCAAAGGATCAGTCTTTACTTTGCCTTGCGTCATAGCAGTAGTTGTGTGGTGCAGTTGTGTAGCCCAGATGAGATGATTGTGCTTTTCTGGGCCAGAGCATCTCTGTGGGCATGAGCCCCCAGTCACACCGAATTCGATGTAGCACTGAACACCTCAGTTTAATAACAGGGATAGTTCGTGTATTTTAAATCCTAAGTCTTGTATTATGCTGGTGTTTCCTCTAGATACCTCTTCTGGTGTCGTCAACACACTGCTTGTGAAAAGTAAATAGTGTAATCATGAAAACACTACACCACTTCTACAGAAAACGGTGATTTGGGATTTGCTATGGGATGATTCCAGAGAAAACTGCAACGTTTTCACGTTATCTGGAATCTAGGAAACAAAAATGGTGAGACATTCTCAAAAAACATTTGAAAAAGATACAGTGATATTTGATAAAATACAGCTTATTAAACTTGTTAAATGATAAATAGTAGAAAGTACTATTTCAAAGGCTCTTTTCTGGCTAACGGTGGGCTCACAGGTGCTCCTTTCTACAGCAGGTATCAAAAAGCTGTGGAATCATTCTTAAAGAAGACTTCAGATGTGTAGTTACGTTATCAAAAGATAATACGCAGACTTGTGACCACACAAAAGATGTACAGATCCCAGTAAAAGACATTTGTCTCAGTAAGAAAGGTAAGACCGATAGCTGGAGCAGAAAAATCTATATTCAGCAAGAATAGCAAAAGAAAAGGAAAGGAAATTTGAAAAGAAACAAAAAAGCCCCGTAATGCTAGTGTTAAGAGTGAGGTAGAAGAAGGGCACTCAGTAGTAGATAGGAGTCACTTTAGAAAAGTAAACTGAACATTTAAGTTAAAAAAAGGCAGGAGAGAGACAAACGAGCTAAAGGGCTCCTGCTATGAAGATACAGGGACAGGCTGGAAGCATCTTGGTGACTTTTGTTTAGAAGACCTGAAGTCAATGCTTTTACCAGAAAGCATTAAAACTCTGCAGAGCCTAAAGGGACTGTGTACAGCAGCTGAGCTCCAGAAAAAACTTTGTACTATTTATGTCCTTCTCTGGTAGTGAGACTTCCCTCTCAGCAAGACAAACCTAGAGGGAAAAGCTATGACAGGATGAAATAAAGCAAATATCCTTCTCTTGCAACCAGATCCATGCACTTTCTCATTCATTAATAACAGACTTAAATTAACAGAGGCTGGCAAATTGGTCCAGTGGTTTGAACAGCAGCCTGGGACATAAAAGGACTCTGTACATGAGGGAATTAGCATCAAAGTGAGACTCTGATGTAGCTACTTCATATTAGCTCATTAAACTAATTAGCTCAGCTTACTGTTATTTACTTGGCTCAGTCTGGGTTGTTACTTCTGCATGGCAGAAAGAATTTCTCAGCAGGACATACACTGGGCTGAATTTGTGAGCTCTGGGGCTGTGTGTGCCCTGCATTAATGGCAGCCACTGGGTGTGTCTGTCACACTGCTCCCATATTGGATATGGAGTAGATCAGGAGCCCAGTTTTGCATTCCCAGTCAGGAACCAAACAGTAAAATCACCCCAATCTCATCCTTCATCCCAAGCTCATTCTTTTGGCTTTCTGCTGAGTCTGGGAAAGAACAGGAAAGCCAATGACAAAGACAAACAAACAAAAAACACCAGAAGCAAACAAACAAATAAACAAGGCCAACCAACCCAACCAAAAAATCAACCCGGTAAGAAGAGTCTTCTCCTAGGACAGCTTTGCTCTTATTCATTGGTTTCTATGCCGGATCTGGCTGTGACCTGACAGTCAGTGGCTTTCAGTGGAAGGTGCAAACAGGATGGAAAGGAGCAGTCAGATGTTTCACCACTAAAACATGTGGTTGTACAGCATCGGCCAAGTGGGACCTCATCACTGAATTCGCCCTCTTTTCCCTAAAAGAAATGTTGAACTTGTGCTTGGGAAACTGTAACAACGAGTCGCCACTGATCACTGCAGTTTCTCCAGTGCTCAACCGTCCTCGTCAGAAAATTTTTGCTAACGTTTTTACTGAATCGTCAGCTAAGTTAAATTCACAGAGCAGATCTACTGAACTTCAGGCCCAAGACTGATCACAGTCAAAAGCCTGCCCTCACCTTTCATTTGGTCAGAACCATTTTCTGACCACTCTCTGAGCAGTTCCTCAGGTCAGAGGCTTCGTTTCCCCAGCTTCACTGCAAGAGCGCTGGCACTGCCAGCAGCACTGCCTTCGCCAAGAAGTGTGACATTCACTGCTTCATGTCTACACAAGGCTCATTATTTATCACGGGAGAAACTTAGATTGCTTTGACATGATTTAATTTTGAATCCAAGTTGCCTGCTATTCATTTGCTTGTTTCCATGAATGAGTGTGCCATTCTTTTTGTGTCCATGTCGTTGGCTTTGCCCAGGTGCCAGCTGCTCATAAAACAGACCTGTGCAGTCAGGTGCCTGCCCTGTCACAGGCTCTTCTTCATGAACTGTCACTTGAAATGACAGCAGTGGTATTTCTCTGATTCACAGAAATGCTATGAAGACACACTAAAGACTGGAATTACACAAGAGTGTAAATAAAGACCTGCTAAATCAGGAGGTTTCTTGTGAAATAGGGAAGGAGAGATGATTACAGTGTGTAAAACTCAGTAAAAATGTTGATGTGGAAAATTCTATGCAGACCTTTTCTGCATCCACAGGCACAGCCAGCAGTAGTGGTCTTAGGAGATTTACAGTTTTCCCATTTTCTTTGAATTTGGTGTTGCCGTATTAATTAAAATTAACTGTTAACCCCCACCCAGTGCATAAACAAAACTCCCATAAACTGCATCTGCAAATGTGTCCCTTATGCTGGTATGCAAAAAACAGCTGGTGCTTCTGGGAAAAAAAAAAAAAGCTAGAGAAGAGCCTGGCTGTGTGTGTATTGCAGGGATTTGTTCTGCTCTTTTACTCCTTGGGATATTTTTTATGAAAATCAGGAATGCCTTTGCTTTTTATTTTTATTACCTTTGAGTGTTTTTCTAATGCCTTGTGAAAGATGAACTTGTGGAACACATAAAACTCTTATGTACCAAAACTGGAAACAGAAAAGAGAAAGAAGAATTTAATATTGGTCTTCCATCCATTGGTTTATCAAAGGCATTTTTAATAGCACAAATTTGAAAAAGAAAAAAAAAACTTTAAATGGAAATGAAAACAAAAACAGTATGGATAGGAAGAAAGAAAAGAACTGGGAAGAAAACCCCATACTTTTTTCTTTCTCATCACTCCTATACAATTGACCTGTTCTTAAAAACCTTTGCAAATCAATTCATTATTCTTCCAGTCTGTGATGTGTACTGCACAGAATCCACCATTCTGCTGCTTCAGATCATTACTACAGAATTCCTGGAAGGAAGGGCATTTATTTTTTATTTTATTTTATATTAACAGCAGGACAAGGGGAAATCGTTTTAAGTTGAGGGAGGGAAGATTTAGGTTGGATTTAGGGGGAAGCTCTTTACAGAGAGTGTGGTGATGTGCTGGAACAGCTGCCCAGAGAGGCTGTGGATGCCCCATCCCTGGAGGTGTTCAAGGCCAGATTGAATGAGGCCCTGGGCAGCCTGGTCTGGTATTAAATGTGGAGGTTGGTGGCCCTGCGTGTGGCAGGGGGTTGGAGATTCACGATCCTTGAGGTCCCTTCCAACCCTGGCCATCAGTCTGTGATTCTGTGATTTTCCAAAGCAATAATGCCCCGCAATCAGAAAATCTTTCTGAAGCCATTCCATCCCCTTCAGATGCCTGCATTTCTTGGCTTTGCAGGCCAGGGTGCAGCTGTACGTTTTCAGTTTGAGGGAACTTTTCAGAACATTCTGCTCCTTTCTAGTTTTCTCACATTACAGTCTTCACAGTTTTTATTTCCACTACTTGAAGTATTGTAAACCCAATCTGCAGATGCGGAGTTGC